TATTACATTGTTCTTCATGCTGTACTTTTTCATCTCAGTTGTAATGCCCTTGGACTTCCCACCACCAATTCACCCATGTGCTATCATCACAGTCCCTTGTACCTTTCCCGCCCGAGTTTTGATCCTGTTCCCCTCTCCTCCCCGGTAAAATGTCTCTGGTTTATAGTTGTTAGTTGATTTTAGTTTTTACTTTATTACAGTACTTTTATTTGTCTTGATCCCTTACATTCTTGCTATGAGTGAAACCATCCAGTATTTTTCTTTTTCCTTCTGGCTTATTTCATTAAGCATGATCCCTTCCAGTTCCATTCATGTTGCTGCAAATGGCATGAGTTTATCTTTTTTAGATTGCTGAGTAGTATTTCATTGTATAGGTAACATCTCTTCTTGATCCAGTCATCCACTTTGGGGCATTTGGGTTGATTCCACATCTTCCCTACTGTAAATAGTGCAGTGATAAAATGTGTCACAAACCACTGGTAGACTAATAGGAAATGCCTAGTACGTCAGCAATAACAGAGCCTCCATCATTCATTCAGGGAGGGGAGATGCTCATTGCCTTTAACCAGGTTCTCAGAGATCTTTTGTTCATTACACTGGGATTTTCATTGTCAAGAGTGAATTTATATAATGTGTTGGAAGTTGGACTTTATGAAGAATAAGTGAAAGAACCTTTTTCTCATGTTTAATCTCTCTGATTATAGTGGATGGTAAAGAAAACTCAAGTCACACACTACTGGAGAAAAAAAGAGTATCATAAAACTGTCTTACCAACATGGTAAACAGCTATAAATGCTTGACATTGCTTTTTAAAAAATATTACTAAAGAGGGAACCTAAAATGATATATTTCAAAATGAAATAGTCTAAAGTCTTAACGAAACACTTACTGCAAGAGTACTTATTTATAGATATTTGGAGTGTTTTATTAGTTCAGTAACATTTTTAATAGCAGTAAAAAAAAAAAAACTACCCTGATATACAAATAATAAAAGGATAAGGTAGTAAATAATCACATTAGAAGCAATAATATTCTAGAATCTGAAGCTAGAGGATGGGGGAGGAAGAAAATGCATGTATTTTCTAACACATAAAGGTCTTTCTGATAGAATTAATAAGGCTTTTTCTAGATTTTCCTTGTCAAATATTTGTTTAAAATAGTTCTTGACATATCTCCAGAAAAAGAAAGTAAAGTACCTAAAGTAATTAAAAGTTAAATTTTAAGACATTTATATCACAAGCAGGGTTAAAAATTTCTGGAGTCTTTACAGGACTGGTGGGGAATGGAGATAAAAGAAAAATGATATTGAAAGCTTTTAAAACACTGCTAAAATTTTGTTTAAACAGTCTAGCAAGTTTCCCAGGTAGATCCCAAATAGATGGAGTTTCGTTCATGTACTTTTCCCCCCCTAAAAAGCAACTGTGGCAGCAATGTTATTCATTCTTTCTGTAAGCCATAGAAGCAAATAATGTCTAAAAGGAGATAAAGCAGCACTTTTTTGTAAATTGTATAATCTAAAAGAGCACAATAATCAAATTGTTTTCTAAACATTAACTTCCAAAGTTCCAATAGTTTTTAAATAGACAATTTTGTTTATGAAACTGTTGGCCTATTAACAGTTCCCAATTGAATCAGTGAAACTAATAACCAGTGTCCAAATAACATAGATTAGAGTAATTCCCATCCATGACATATGCATTCATAATAATGGCGAAAGGCAATAAGGAAGTCTCTGTACATTACATTCATCCTTTAGGGAAAAAAAAACATATTGGATTGTTTTATGGAAGATTGTGCTAGAAACTGTACTAATTGTGCTGATAGTATTTAATGAAACATAATAAAGGCTATATTACTGAGTGCCAAATGTTCCTGCAGCTAAAAAAATTGGAAGCAAAATACAATTCATGTATATATGTATAGCTATATAGCAAGATTAAACTATTAAATGTTTATTGAGAGTAAGACTATAAGCAAGGCAGATGTGGGTATAGGTAGGTCGATACAGAGATGAATGTGTCATAACAGGTGAAGCAATACATAAAAACTATTTCTTTCTTTCCCATTTTATTTTATAAATACATTTCCCAAATGGATGACTACCTATTATACTTTAATTGTTGAAATACAAATATATCCACTAAAGGATTTTCCTCTCTTTTTAAATTAGTCAGTTGTTTATATTTCTCTATAGCTTTGGGGTAGCATTTTTACACTTTGGGGGTACTTTATATGTCCAATGCTGCTTTCACCTTCCCTCAAACCTCCTGCAGCAATGCCCTATCCCTTTCTCTCCCCTGGTCTTCCCTACCCTACCCAGTGCTCTCCCTGGTAATCAGTATGTTTTCACAAACCCTACAAATTGTTTTTGTTGTGCTTTGCCAGTGTATTTGTTGGTGGTGTTATTTATATTCCAAAGAAAAGTGAAACTGTCCATTATCTGTCTTTTAGTTTTTGACTTTTTTTACATAGCATAATCACCTCAAGGCCCATCCATTTTGTCCAAAAGACACTATTTTGTCTTTTTTTTTTTTTAAAGATTTGTTTATTTGTGCATACAGAACTGGGTACAAGCCAGAGGTGTAGGTGTGGTGAGAGGATTCACCAGAGACAGAGTGGGAGCAGAAGAGGCTGACTGATGAAGTTCACTGCTGAGGGGAGCAGTGGGTGGGTCAGGAAAGGTCTGCCATGCCATGTGGGTCACCTCCAGTGTGGGTGGGGATCAAACTCATGCTGAAGTGGCTGAAGCTTCTTAGTGCTGTGCTTTAACATGCCACGCCACCAAGGGAGGGCCCTATTTTGTCTTTTTAAAATAGCTGCAGAGTATTCCATTGAATATATATTGTGCAAGTTCTTTATCAAACATCAGTCCTCGTGCACTTGGGCTGCTTTCATGATGTGGCAACAGTGGATAGTTAGTCTATATTCATAAATCTTTTTTTTTTAAGATTTTTTTATTTATGCATACAGAACTGGGGTACAAGCCAGGGTACAAGGTGCAGGGGCGGCAAGAGGACTCACCAGAGAGAGCAGGGAACAGTACAAGCAGATCGATGAAGTACACTGCTGAGGGGAGCAGCAGGCAGGTCAGGAGAGGTCTGCCACACCATGTGGGTCACCTCCAAGACGGGGGATTGAACTCGCATTGAAGCAGTTGATGCTAGCTTGCAATGTTGCATCCTTACCCACTGCACCACCAGGGAGGGCCCATAAATCTTTTTATAAAGTGGTTTTCATATTCTTTGGGTAAATACCTTGCAGAGATACTGCTGGATTCTATGAGATTTCCATTTTTATTTTTTAATGATAATCTCATAACATTTTCCACTGAGACTGCACCACATTCGTTCCCACCTACAGAGGGTGAGCTTCTTTTTCTCTACATTCTGCCAATATTTGTTACTTCTATTCTTTTTGATACAGATGTTTCTTCCAGGGGTGAGAAGATATCTCATTGTGGTTTGATCTTATTCCCTTGGAATAAGTGATGTTGGCCAGATTTTCTTGTGCCTGTAGACCATCTACATGTCTTCTTTAGAAGCGTTTCTTCTTCAGTCTTTTGCCCATTTTCTGCTTGGGCTCTCTGCTTGTTGGAGTCCATAAATACATTATGTGTTTCTTCAAATTAGCTTCTTGTCAGAGTATGATGAGCAGTGTCTTCTCTCAGTCTGTAGGTTGCTATTTTGGTTTCATGATGGTTACTTTCAAGGTACCATACAGCCTTTTAATTTGATATAATCTCCCTTGTTCAATTTGGCTTTTGTTTCCTTTGCTTTTGGTTGGTCTTTGCGGCTGATGTCCACTAGTGTATATCCTATGTTTTAAGTATTTTGTGGTTTCAGTTCTTATATTCAAATCTTTAATTCATTTTAATAAATTGTGCAGAGAATTAAGTATAGATCTACTTTCACTTTTTTGCATGTGTCTGTGTATGTTTGCCAACACCAGGTTTGTTTTTTTTTTAAGATTTACTTGTTTGTGCATACAAGAACTGGGATACAGGGCAGAGGGTGTGGGGGTGAGAGGATTCCCCAGAGATAGCATGGGGAACAGAACAGGTGTATCTACAGAAATACGCTGCTGAGGTGAGCAGAAGACAAGACAGGAGAGGTCTGCCATGCCATGTGAGTCACCTTCCTGGATGGGGATCAAACTTTTGCTGTGGATAGCTTCATACTACTGCATTTTAACCCTCTGTGATACCAGAGGACCCCAATACAAGTTGTTAACGAATGCTTCATTTCTCCATCATGGATCCTTTCTCAAAGACTGTCCACAGTTGTGTGGATTTCTTTCTGGTGTTTCCATTCATTCTTAATTTGATCTGTGTTTCTCTTTTTTCTATTTTTGTTATAATAGACCGACACAAATTTAGTTGTTTAAAATATCATAAGTATATTATCTTGCAGTTCTGGAGGTCAAAAGCCAGCCCATATCTCACAAGGTGAAACTAAGGGGCTGACAAGAGAGCACCTCTCAGGCTCTAGGGAAGACTGCTTTTCTCCCATCTACTGGTGATCACCCATAATGCACTGCCCATGGCCCCTTCCGCCACTTTAAAAGCCAGTAACAGCATCTCTCTGGCCTGTCCTCTGTAGTTAAATATTCTTTTGACTATAGCCTCTGCTTTCAAGGATTTGTATGATTAGGTTGTGGCCTAACCTAAAATAATCTTCCATCTCCAGGCCCTTGACCTTAATAACAAGTGCAATATCCCTGTGACAATAAATTTAACATATTATAGGTTTCAGAGATTGGAGCTGGTACACCTTTGGAAGACCAGTATTTTGCAAATAACCTCCAAGTCTGACTTCAAAGCTCCGAATCTGTCCTTCAGCCTTGGAATTTATCACTTGTTTTCTTAGTCTCCACCTTGAGATTCCAAGTTCCATTAGAACAAGAGCCATTTTTATTTATTCCCCCAGTAACCAACACATCAGCCTCAGTGCCTGCTTTTTTTATTACTGTCTTTAATATAATAGTTTATTTTTACATCATTTTATGCCTTTTTCCATCTCAGTTGTAATCCTTGTGGACTTCCCATCAGCAAATCACCTGTGTGCCATCACCATAGTCCAGTGTACTCCCCCCCATTTTTGATCCCATTTCCCACTTCACCCCCATAAAATGTCTCCGGTATATAGTTGTTCATTATTATTATTATTTTCTCCCCTAGTCCACTATACTCCTGCTATGAGTGAAACCATCTGGTATTTTTCCTTTTCTTTCTGGCTTATTTCACTAAGCATGATCCCATGTTGCTGCAAAAGGCATGTGTTTATTTATTTATTTTTGGTGGCTGAGTAATATTCCACTGTATATATGTACCACATCTTTTTAATCCAGTCATCTACTTTTGGGCTCAATGCCTGCTTTTTTTTTTTTTTTTAAGATTTATTTATTTATTCATACAGAACTGGGGTACAGGCCAGAGATGCAGAGAGTGAGAGGATTCACCAGAGACAGAGTGAGGAGCAGAACAGGCAGATCAACGAAGTACACTGCTGAGGGTAGCAGCGGGCAGGTCAGGAGAGGTCTGCCACACCATGTGGTCACTTCCGGGGCAGGCGGGAATCAAATTCATGCGGAAGTGGTTTCAGCTTCTTAGTGCAGTGTTTTAACCCACTGCGCCACCAGGGAGGGCCCAATGCCTGCTTTTTAAGTAAACAGATCATGACCAAAGATATGATGAAACAATGGACAAAGAGTTAGAAATCAGAAAACTATATCTTGATTTGGATCAAGGTTTGTACTTTTGAAAGATGATGCATCTCTTTCACCTCTTAAGAAAATAAAAAATGCCATTCGTTAGAAAGGTCTTAATTCAAGAAAAGTTGACACTAGATAAAAGGAAATCAGACTGTCTAAATGCAGTTGTGTGCAATTCAAAGCAGAAAAAGGTTTGCTACAGAATCAGTGTTTTGCTGGGGAGAGACTAGGATTCATGTACCCCTCACTGATATTTCAGGACTTGGAAAGCTGCAGACTTCGCTTGGATCCTGAGCTGGACCGACACAGATATGAGAGGAAGATCAGCTTTGCTGGGGTCCTGGATGAAAATGAAGACTCAAAAGATTCCCTTCACAGTAGTAGCCACACCCTCAAATCAGATGCAGGTGTTGAGGATAAGAAAGGTATGGACAAGTGAGAATTCTTTCATGTTTCAGGTTTCCTCATAGGATACTTGGCCTGGGCTCTAACCTACAGAATTGTGCCACGTTGGAAGTCTAAAATTATGGAGTCTGTACAGTGTGGTGTTCACTCAAAGAGGTGGGAGAGCAGACTAGTGAGGAGTCAGCCTGCAGACAGAGAGGCCGGTGTTCTAACCACTCCCCAGGCCCCATTGAATCTAATCAGTTGTGAGATGAACTGTTATTTTATGTACCAGTAGGAAAGGAGAAATACTCCCAATTCAGCTCTTCTTTTTGCCTTTTTTTTTTCATTCCTGTTGAAAGAATTCAAACCTGACCAGATGTAGATTTTTATTCTCAAGCTTGTCAAGTCGAAAAGAAAGATACATATAATTAAACTGGCTGAAGCTTTTCTAAACAATCTTTAAGTTTCTTAACAGTTTTAAACTCAGAATTGTGGTTTTTTTATTGTATAAATACATTTTTTACATTATTCCTCATTTTTACATTTTTTCATCTCAGTGGTAACCCCTGCAGACTTCCCACCACCACTTGCTCCATGAGCCATCACCACAGTCCCATGTGCTCTTCCCACCCAGTTCTGAGATTCTAGGTATCTTTTTCTTTTGTATATCCTTACTGAGAATACACCTAGTAAAATTCTGCTTTAAGATGAAGGGTTAAACTTTTTAACCCTCTTCCATAGAATGTCTCTGGTTTATAGTTGCTAGTTGATGTTCTTTCTTACTTTATTAAAATTACTGTATATATATATGTGTGTGTATACATATATATATATATTCCCCCCCTTTCCGATTCCTTACACTCCTGATATGAGTGAAGCCACCTATTATTTTTCTTTTTCTTTTTGGCTTATTTCACTAAGCATGATCTTTTCAGTTCCATCCATGTTGCCACAAATCCACAAATGGCATGAGTTTATCTTTTTTGATTGCTGAGTAATATTCCACTGTGTGTGTTTTTTCAATATGATAATCCTCCATGTAATCAGAACATTAATAATGCATCATATTTTAAATAATGCTATAAAAAGCAAAAAAGCTGTCTGTGCCAGTTACATCATCCAAGGTGTAATTGTAAGAAGCCAACCTGCCTTCAATTCTGCTTCAGCAATGTGGCCAAATACCTCTCACTTCCCACCTGACCTCCCCTCCTCCTTTCAGTTATTGGTTTTCCTGGAGTTAAAAGACAGTGCCTTCCACCTGTACATTTTGTCACTGATGTTTTAGATGTTCCCATGGGCACTAGCAATAATAAATGTGTCATAATTTCTTCCTAACCATTAAAACACAACCTAATTTCATATAAATTTAAGTATGAGAAAATGTACATCCAAAATAATGATCACTAACTATGATCTTGTCCAAGTTACTTTCCTTCTAAGCCACAATTTTCTTTTCTGTAATAACACCTAATTATTATAGGTGCTAATAACTCCTAATTACTATACCTATTAATTACACCTAATAACCAAACTTAGATATTGAAAATTTTAAATGAAAGTCAAACATAAATTCAGTAGCTGATAGGTGCATAAAAAATAATTGCTATTCTTATTGTCTTTTATATCTTGAACATTTAGATTAGAAAGCATGCAGTAAATCATAAGTATGAACTATGAAAAAACTGCTGAGTTTTAAGTTGCTCTCTACCTTTATACTATTAACATGATATCTGATTTTGCTGTTTCTTAAATTCTGTTATTCTTCATTATTGTTCTAATGGATTTCAACTAAAAGGACATCAGCACATTTGTGAAGAAGATCAAAGATGACTGTCTAGTATCCTCTAGAAAATAACTCCACAGATGATAGATAACTTAAAGTATGAATGATCTTGAAAGAAATATACTGGATTGATAAAACAAAATATTAAAAATATTTTATTATTTAAAAAATTGTAAGAAATGACTATATATTGGAAAATTTTTGAATATTTGAAGATCAGATTGTGTCATCACACTTAAAAAGTGAAAGAATCATAGCATCATATTGTATTGATTTTAGAGTGAACACAAGGTAGGTTGGAGGAAAAAGTAGCCAAGTTCAAGTATGAAGAAATACCAGGTTATGTTTTTTGAAATACTACTACTTTTGACAAGTATAACTGAATATGATGAGCACCTTACATCTTTTAAACATTCCCACAAGGAATTTTTTGTGCTTATTATATTCAAAATGTATATATTGCTAATTATTTCTTATAGTCATTGATGTAAATGTCACTTATATGGTTTGATTTCTGCCAAAAAATTCTACACTGCTAAACAAAATTAAACCTAAGATTAACTTTTAAAAAATGTAATAATTATCTTTTATGTAAATTGCTTTTAATGTTCTAGAACATAAAGGTTTAGCTTTTTTGGGTAGAATGTCATTTAATTTATGAAAGTTATTTACTTAATGAAGGTCAGAAAACTAAAACGCCAAATGAAATGATGCTATATCTGTAAACTGTCCTTTACTAGTTGGTAAAAATTTTCCCCAAGTGTCCTAATTATTCTTTCATACTTTTGACAAGCAGATAACAGCTGCTAATGTGAAAATAGGCACCATGGGGACCCAACTAACTTGCGATTATTAAAAGTATATTTAAAATTTCATACCATCTGTTTTTTATAAATGCCAACATGTCAGTACTTGAAATAAACAACCTGAGAACAATTCAGATTCTCCCAAAGAAAACCTAATGTGAAATTATTTTCACAACTCAAAATATCTGCCTAAAATCCCTAAGCCAGTCTATAAAATCATTTTACCCAAAGACAAACAAATATTGATATTCCAAAATCTAAACACCAAAATGTATTTGCCATTCAGCAATCATTTATTGACCCCCCCAAAGCATCCCATGCAGTACTACAGATTCTCAGAATATGACAATGAGCAGAAAAATTTCTCCAAAAATATTCTAGTATATGCTAATAGTTGCTGAATAGTGAATAGCATTATACATGCTAGACTTTCAAGTAGACATAAGTAGTATGATGAAAAAAAAATCAGGGTCAGAGAATTGATTACTATCTGGAGTGGAAGAGAGTATTACTCAAAAGAGCCTCATAAGTGATATTGCATAAAGGAGAGTGGAAATACCAAACAGTACTGCAAAGGACTGAGGGTGAGTCTTCCTAACAGAGACACACGTGAGAACAAAATTCTGAGGTAGGGATGAACTTGGAACATTCAAAGGCAGGCAAAAAGACCAACATGGTTGCAACAGAATAAATTAGGGAGAGGAGTAGGAGACAGGCAGACAAAAGGGCAAATAGATAAAGTCAGAAAGTACCTACTAATTTTTTTAAAGATTTATTTATTTATACATACAGAACTGGGGTACAGACCAGAGGTGCAGGGCCAGTGAGAGGCTTCACCAGAGACAGAGTGGGGAGCAGAACAGGCAGATCGATGAGCTCCACTGCTGAGGGGAGCAGTGTGCGGGTCAGGAGAGGTCTGCCGCGCCATGTGGATCATTTCCAGGGCTGGCGGGAATTGAACTCATGCTGCAATGGCTTTAACTTCTCTGTGCCATGCTTTAACCCGCTGCACCACAAGGGAGGGCCCCAGTACCTACTAATTTTTCAAAATTTATTTGTTCATGCATACGAGAACTGGAGTACAGGCCAGGGTATGAGGGGTAAGAGGATTCACCAGAGACAGAATAGGAAACAAGCAGGCAGATCTGCTAAAACACACTGGTGAGGGGAGCAGCTGGCAAGACAGGAGAGGTCTGCTGTGCCATGTGGGTCAGCTCTCTGGCGGGGGATTGAACTTGTGCTGCAGTGACGTGGAGCCTGCCAATGCTGCACTTCAACCTATTGCACAACCTATTAGGACAGTCCCAAATTCCTTCTAATTTAAGTGTGTCTGGAAGTTGTTGGCAAATTTTGAAGAGAAAAGTGGTAAATATGTATGTGTGCTTTGTGTGTTTAAAGATAAATTGAGCTGGCAAAATGGGATTTAGGGGAATAGTTAGTTATATTAGTCCAGGAAATAGCTGACAGGGTTTTATAAAGCCTATGAATTATTAGTCTGAAGTCAGCAGGATTCATTAATGGATATTATGTGATAGACAGAGAAAAGAAAAAGAGATGTTTTATTCAATTTAGATGAATTTGTTTGACTTTCATACTGGTTTTTGTTGTCATGGCAATAAAGCTGAAATTCAATGTTGTATAAAGCTCAACAAATGGATGTTTTGCATGTTTAACACCAAATCTAAATTCTCATTGCTGTGTCCTTGGTGATTAAGCACTGACTTGATTCCAGATTCTACTACGGCTTAGATATCTCCAATTATCACTGGTGGTAGAACAGATTGTCCAAATTTCTTTCATATCATATCATTGTATGACTTTTTTTACTGCACTTACAGCAGATATCATGAAGTTAGGCAAAGTATTCAAAGTGTGCCTCTGTAAGAAAAAAAAAATCTCTCAATCTTTTTCTCTACTTCCCAATCTACCTTGACATGAAATTGTGTGAGTAGTCATTAAAAAGTATAAGTCTCAACCCTGAAAATAATATTTTAAAAAATGCACAAAAGTGTTGTGCTATACTTGAAATAGTGCAGTATGAGCTGACCCATTTGTTCTGAAAGACTGCATCCTGGTGTGAAACTCTATCCAGATGTGTTCAGCTGCCTAGTGATAATTTTAATCTTTTTCAACCACAAAAATATATCAGAGATTAAATATTTCAAATTTTTACAGGAATTCTTCTTGGCATCATTACATAGTATTAAAAGCACATTTAATTAACATTCAGTAGAGCTGTACTAGTTCTATCACAGTCTTATACTAACTCTCTCGTAAGTGAGAAACCCAAGACTAAAATGCAATCTTCCAGAAGCAGACTTTTAAAAATATTAATAAGTATATCTCAAATAATTAGTAAGAAATCTTATTTGTAAGGATACTTTAAAAAAAATTCACTCCTTCCTCTAATAGCTTCGAAAACTTTATTTATAAAATCAGCATGTGAGACCAAAACTTCAAAGGTGAAGAAAGAAGCTGTGTATATAACTGAGGATAAGGGTGCTTTTGATTATGAAAAGTAGGTCTCAAGTTTAAACATGTTTCTTGTACCCTTTTATTTTCCTCACTGATGACTGTTTTTTCCAGAACACTAAAGATGAATAATGCATGTTCTTCTCGGTACACATAGACTGCAAGTTTGGCTCAGGGTATTGAAACACTTGGACTCACAGTCCACCTAGCCTTTTGACTGAAAGGAGGATGCTGTGAAATCACTAGGTGCATTGAAAATGGAACATTTCACACTCATGCTCACCCACAGCGCCCAGTGCAAACAGACCCTTTAGTGCTCTTGCTGAGGAGCTGAGCGGAACCCACTGCTGACTGTTGGAGCGAGAAGCACCTCTTGTTTTTATTTCTTAATAAGGTATTATTCCCAAATGAAGGGGTTTACATTAAAGTTTACATAGCTCACAGAATCCTCTCAGTCCCATCTCAAAAGAAAAACTAAAACAAATGGTTTGTGGTTGTATGGAATCAAGCAGCAAGCTGATTTGTGGATATGCAGAATGTTTTGTAACCGCACAAAGGGTTGTGACAGAAATTGCAGCCCTTGCGGCTGCCAGGGTCCACCCTGTTTGTGAACCCTGGGCCCGAAAGAGAGCAGGTTGTTTCCAGCTCCCATGAACTTGTCCAAGAAAAGAAGCTTCCGGGTGGAGCCCGCCCCCTGCCTGCCTTACAAAGCGCTGACGGGGGACTGGAAGAAACTCCTGTCAGCCAACCTCTCCTCCCAGGCAGCAGAGAGGAGGCTCTTCACGCACAAGTTGGGAAGAGCGTGGATCTAACACTGACTGGGGAAAACTAAGGGGGAAAAAGCCCTATTTTATTCTTTTAATACAGTTCCCAGCAGGAAGATCAGGATAGGAGGTTCCCGCCTGCTCCAGATTAAAGGAACCCGCAGTTTCCAGGTGAAGAAGGGGGGTTCCTTGTCCAGCATTCGCCGGGTCGGCAGCTTAAAGAGCAGCAAGTTTTCACGGCAGGACTCAGAGTCTGAGGCTGAGGAGCTGCAGCTGTCCCAGAGCAGGGACACTGTCACTGATCTAGGTAACAGTGAGGAGTGGGGTGTGCAGGGATGTGGGGGGTAGGAAGGCAGCGCCCACATCCTGAAGCAGCTCAAGTCCGTTTCCGTATATGTAATCGATGGAGGAAGAGTGGTAGACTAGACCGCTAGTGCAGGAGCAAACCCTGTACCCCTCCAGAAGGGGGTGCAAACTGAAATGTGCACACAGGTCATGGGCGGCTTGTGGAAAGCAGATTTCCACTCAGTAGGTCAGGTGCGGCCTGAGATGTTACACCTTTGACAAGCGTCCTGACACAGCTCACTCTGACCTGTGCTGGGGATTAGAGATTGTCCATTGGGAAAGAAACCACTTGCACAATGAGGCCAGTTTTTATGGATCCAAAGGTGTGTGTAGACTCATTCTTCTGAGAAGACCTTTAAAACAGAATTTAGCTGCCCTTGGGGGCAGCTAGCCGAAGGTCTTCTATATACTAAAGTGTCTACTTCACAGTAAAAATAAACCAAATATCAGCTAGGAAAGACTATTAGAACTGCCAATAGTGACCTTCAGCAAGACTCAGGGTTGTTTTCTCCAACTATCTACTGGGTATAAGTCTATTTACTCTACTTACTCTGAAGGGGTGTTATAAAAATAAATTAGAAGATGACTGTAAAGTGTGTAAAATGCCCGACAAGGAGCTCTGTATCCAGTCAAAGCTCTGAAGTTGTAGGTTGTCACTGGAATATCCAAAGAAACAGGTTTTCCAAATGTGTCAGTCATGTGGGTCCTGAGAATAGACTAGAAAGTAAGCAGGCCTGCGGGTGGGAATGAACAGCTGCCCAGAGTGTAACTGTTGCATAAGGGTGGAAGCATGTCTTCTCTGACATTCAGTCCCTATATAAGAAGCAAAACAGAGAGATCCCCTTTCTAGGCAAGTTCTTTCAGAAGTCAGTCAGGAAATGTGAATAAATTATCGATCAAGACTGCTGAAATAGAAGCTGAGTATATCTCGTCAAAAAGAGTTTAAAATAGGAAATTTTCTACACCTACCCACCCTTGCCTTTGAAATAGCTAATGTATGCAGCACTTAAGATTCAGCTGATCTTTTAGGGAGACAATAGGAAAATCTCTGTCTTCTTTTGTTTCAGGTTTGAAGCTATCACCATGTCATTAGTTAGTTTGGGCCAAAGACTTATTTCAATTAATTATGATCATTGATCTGTTTAACCCAAACCATCTCCTAGAAAGAAGTATGGTTTGGTCACAGAAAAGACTCAGTATTCTCTCCCATAGAGAATACTGTAGAAAAGGTTGTCCAGTTGCTTTCAGATTCCCTTAGTTTTTCTGAGGTGTCCATCCTTAGTTAAAGTAGCAAAACCCAGGGCTTAAGAGAAGTAGTGCCTATTGTCAGCACAGAAGCTAGCGTGCTCTGCAACCCATTTGAGTTGCTTGATGACCCTACTTAACTACACCTGTAAGGTCTGGACAGTCTGGAAGGGTTTAGGGAACACTCACCCAATTGCTAGCTCATCTCAGCTATTCTAAGATTTGGCTTAGCTTTTCTCTGCTGCCATCTCAAAATGGAGGCCACCACAACAAAGATCAGAAATGTCTTTCTAATTGCCAGTTCAACGGTGATGAAGGGAACATCTCCTATTAATCTTCCTCCATGAAAGTCAGTGCTTTGTCCTGGAATCCATTGGGTCAAGGTAGCCTACCCTTGGATTCAAAAGCATGGACAGTGCTATGACACCAACATGACTTCCAGGGAGACTGAACAATCCAACCTTTCCTGATTTTTTTTCTTTTGAAGAAGGGAGTCCTTGGAGTGCAAGTGAACCCAGCATTGAGCCAGAGGGCATGAGCACTACCGGCGCAGAGGAGAATTACCACAGGAACATGTCATGGCTTCATGTAAGTAGGACTCTTGGGAAGAGCCCTGAGATCAATTTCTGTTGGCATCAGGGAAGATCCATGGACAGAAAACAAGAGGTTGCACTAAAACCATTCATACAGTTTAGCCTCCAAGAAAATCCAGAGGCATAGTTTCAGTATTCACTGAGTCAGTGAATACTGAGAAGACCAATGGTCCTTTAAGACCAATGGTCCTTTGTCGTGGCTTGTGGGTCATTACTGTAAGTCAGAAAAACCATGAGGAGCCAACCCAGGTGACATTGAGATAGCCTGAGCAATGCAAACAAGACTTTAGAACCAGGTTCGCTTTATAAGGAATGCTAAAAGCAAGGCCTGGTGTCAGTCTTGGGTCTGTATTAGAATAAATTTTAAGCCAGAATGTGGAGCTTCTGAGATGACAGTGGTTACATCTCAGAAAGGTATGCATAGGACACTGTCAAGAGTGGATTTCAGGGAAACTGGGGGTTGAAGTTTCAAGCTAGAGCTCAATCATAAGCAGCGCTTGCACAGGGAAGTTAGGTGAAACATAATGAAGCGTAATTTTATCCGCAATTGCCAGGTGCCACATCACAATTTTTTGTCTTAGATGTGGACTGTCACCCTCTCCTTTGATTTTAATCTGACTTACTGTCACCATCAGTTCAGGATTGGCTGGTATGTGAGTCTCCTCAGAATTCACAAAGCTGAGCTTTACTCAGGAAGTGTGTGCTGAGTGGTTGATTTTAGAATCTGTGAAGCAGCTGTTTGTAAAGTACACTTTTTAATGAATTTGAATTTACTTTGAAATGTATACAAAGTCTATGTTTATAGTTCAATAAATTTTTTACAACATTAACACATCTCTGTAATTCAGGGCATGAAAAGGAACTTGTCAACACCTTGGCGTGCTCTTTGGACCCTTCAGCCAGCTCTATTTCTCACCTCCCCTAACAGTAACCACAATTCAGACTCTTTACACCATAGATTAGTTGTGTCTTTTTGCAAATGTGTATAATCGACATGATATACTATGAAATGTGCTGTTGGATTTTTTTCTCCTATTAGTGTAAATGTTGCAACTTTTTCTTCAGCATAGTTTGGTCTCTTTTTGGCTAGATTCCCTTCCATGTAGACTCACTTTGTCAATACTCATTCAAGAAACTTCCAAAGCAACCTGACATTGAACATAAAAATAATTTAAAATGGAAGAATTGGCCCCTGTGGAAAATAGTGTGGGGATTTCTCAAAATATTAAAAATAGATCTACCATATGATCCAGCAATTCCATTCAGATGTAGCTACCAGAAAAATGCAAAAACGAATCACTTGATTTAAGTCTTATCTAGCCCCAAGTGAAAAACTACAATGGTCAAAAGACAGAGGCAGTAAAATTGTTTTAGAGAGTGGAAATGAACTTCTACAATGGCATGCAAGGCCCAGTTGACAGCTATCTGCCAGGATGAAAGATGCAGAAATATTTGTGAGTTCCACATAGGTGGACTGGAGTTAAAAAATACAAGGTCAGTCACATTCTTTGAGACAGAACTTTCCACTGGTTTATGCTCTCTCTGGCTGTTTCAACAATATAAAAGCTGAAAAAAAATAATGTTTCAGGAAAATCTTCATTTTGAAATTATTTTAAAAACAATCCCTTCACACTAATTGTTTCAAGAATTTGAAGATCTTTTAGCTTAATCACTTATTATTTCAAAAAGTTCTTTCCATCCAGTATGAATGGAGAAAAAAAAGAGACCAAGTACATAAAGTCTTGTAAGTCTTTGTTTTCTTGTGGGAATTGCTGAAACACTGTTTTAAAGACCCATCACGAAAAGCTGGCTTTCTGACTCTCCCTCTCCCACCCACAGAAATGCTCAGGTTGTACTCTGGCTGCCTGACTGAGTCCGGTGATGTCTGTGTTCCAGGTCATGATCTTGTTGTGCAATCAGCAGAGTTTCATTTGCACGCACGTAGACTACTGCCATCCACACTGCTACCTACACCACAGCCGCTCCTGTGCGCGGCTGGTCAGGGCCATCAAGCTCCTCTATGGGGACACCGTAGATGCCCTCCGGGAGAGCAACAGCAGCAGCAACGTAGGTCTCCGGACCAAGAAACAGAAAGAGGTGAGTGATCGATTGATCATAGACCAGTGATAAGGGAAACGGTGTCCAGACCACTTTCCTCTGGAAGAAAATTTGAAGCGATTACAGCTTTGTAAATCAGTCTGCACATCGGTGTGATTTTGAGCAAAAGTAGATGAGAGCAAAAGGATCAATGATTTGTCTTTGTGTCCACAAGCAAACAGAATCTTTATCCAGGTTTTGCCTTATTTCTATGAATAACTCTGAACTGATAGCAAGGGTGGTACTGTAGAGATTATTGAGTTAAGCAGAATAATGCCCCCATTCAAAGATGTCTGGGTGCTAATCTCTGCAATCTGTGAATATGTTACCTCAAGGAGCAAAAGAGATTTTGCGTATATGAATAAATTAAGAGCCTTTTGATGAAGAGATTATCCTGAATCATCCAGGTAGGCTCAATGTAATCAAAGGGATTTACAAGTGAACAAGAAAGGAGGTAAGACAGTCAGAGGCAGATGGCATAATAGAAGCAGAGGTCAAGGTGTTGCGGGCCCTTGAGCCAAGAAATGCTGGAAGCCTGTAGGGATTGGAAAAGACAAGGAGATAGATGATTCCCTGGAGCTTCCAGAGTGAACAGAGCCCTTCCAGTTCATTTCACACTCTGAGACCTCCAGAACTGGAAGGTAGTAAATTTGTGTTGTTTTAAGCCACAGCGGTTGTGGTGATGTGCTTACAGTAGCAGTAGGAAACCCCTACAGTTCTGTATTAAGGTTGAGCAATATATGACCCAGCAGTTTGTGGATAAATAACCCAGTAATCTAGCCAATAGATGAGAGGTCACACCTTCATGGAACTATCGCCTGTTTGAAGCATTCATCTGTGCTCTCTTGACTACTGCTTGAGCAGTTGAGTGGCAGCAGATGAAGACTGTAGCCACGGCTGCCCTGCTCCTGCCAGGGAAGCTCTGGATTACCCACCCACCCCTGCAAGGCATGATCCCAAGATGCACGTGCAGCCCTTGCAGCTGCTTCTCCCAAGTGGTTTTGCAAAGAGATTTTTATATAATACCTATTCAATGCAATGAGTATTCATAAAGCACCTGCTGTTGGCACAATTTTAGACCAGATATCTGGAGGGAATAAAAAATAAAAAGTCAGATCAGAGGATCTATGTACCAAGGGCCTGGCAAGCCTAGTTTGTGTGTGTAGGGGAAGGCAATAATATACAAATCAAGCAACTAGGGAATATGAGCGATGCAAAAATGCACAGTTAAATTGTATAGTACTTTTTAATGCTTTAGCACTTGCAAAGGGATTTTTAAAATTGCAACTTTTTAATTATGGAGGCAGTATGTTTTGAACAAATTTTGGATACTATGAGAGATTCTAAATGAAAAAACAGTGTATCTCATGACACATAAATGTGCTAGTATGCCTTCTTGGCTATTACTTGCAGGCAAACCATAGATCTGAGGCGTACAGCAAAGAGAGGGGTTAAAACAGGGGAGGGAAGAGCACAAGGGACTGTGGTGATGGTCACAGTTGCTGAAGTGGTGGGAGAATGAGGGGAGAAATCAAGTGTACAAAAATGAACAATGATGTAAGAAAATGAAAAGTAAACTTAGGGGTTTTCAAACAAGACTTTATTACATCTCATGTTATTCAAACTAGACAAAGTCTGAGGGGGCTGGGGAATAGATCAGTGTGGGTAACAAGTGAACTGTCTGAACTGCTATGTACATTTAGTGCACCTTCAAATATGATGGATTTTTGTAAACTATCATTTTATATACATGAATATATAAATAAATATTATCACCTTCATAAAGAATTCTTTGATTTCTCCATATCAAAAGAATAACAAAATATACATGCATGCAGCTGTGTGCATATAGACATAGACATATGCATGTTATGTATGTATGTATACAGCATATGCATGTATGTGGGCATTGCACTGAGATGCATGTATCTATATATCCACACATATAGCTATATCATGTATAACATGCACGCTATGTACCTGTTTATATACACATGTTTCAAACATAAATAACATTACATTTGAAGTGAACCTATTTTTATTTAGGTAAGCTCTTTATATAAAAAGCTACCTTTGTTTTAATAGAAAACCATATATGTTAGAAGTTACAAAAATATGTGTTCTAAACTAATGGCCATACATGTTCAGATTTCTTACTGCCATAGCTTTGCTGTAACTTAGCCTTTAGTCACACAGGTGGAGGACTGGGGAGATGTATTGAGTCTTTGGTGATACAATTTTATTCCAGCATGCCAGTCTCCTATTATAGTCCTTTTATTCTCCTACAGTGCTTCCTCCCTGTCTTGAATCTGTCACATAGATGAACCATGCCCACGTTTCCAGAGCCAAAATGAAAACAGAATAGGCAATATATCAAGAATAAAAGCAGTGGTTTTATTAAAACCTAATCTTATGAGCAATTGTTATTTTATTTCGATTTCCTTTTTAATTAGCTGTAATGGCAGAAGATATTAGTATTAGTGCACATGTTTTGTTACGTATCTACCTCTGCTTAATCTGCTGATCTGCATTTTAGTACTTAGATGTACTAAGTACTTAGTACATTCTGTTAGTCCACTTTAGTGAACTTTCAAACATGAGGAGATTTTACAGACTGTCATTTTATCTACAAGAATAAATAAATATTCCTTCACAAGCAGTTCTTTTATTTTGTCCATATAGTGTTGCCTTGCCCAATGCTATGTTTAAAAAAGGAAATATTCAATTAGTGCTTCCTGATGGGAAAAAGTATAGGGAAAATTGTTTCCTTTCAGCCAAAAAGGATTGAGGGACAAAAAGGGGTGTGGGCTGTAAAGGAAAAGGACAATATCTGTACATTTGTGAAAAAATGCACCTGGGGAAAGGCCAGCTGATCTCCCGTGGGATTAATCCTTTTCTAAAGCGGTGGAAAACCCTGCTGTGAGGCTACAACCAGACCAGAGTCTTTGATTTCATGGATGAGAACATACATAGTCTGTCCATAACATACATAGTCTGTCCATAATACACAATGCAAAGCTGGGAGACACAAAGTGTCCAGATTACCTTTGGAGAAATAGTGCACTTGTATTGCAGTGTCTCTTTCTCAAAAAACAGGGAAGTCCATTTCTCAGAAAGCTTGATAGGCTATTTTCTCAAATTTTAAATAGCACATTATTTCACAGGGTACTACCATGGGTGTCTTTTTCTACTAACCTTGACTTTCCATTTGTTTGTTTTCTGTCTCCTAGTAAGATATTCTCCATGAGGGCAAGCATTATGTGACTTTTGCCCCTTAGCAAACTCCCAGAACTTAACCCAGTTCCTGGCATTGGCTAACTCTTAATAAATGTTTGAATTATTAAATGGATACATGGAATTTTTACTTAAAATAATTATTATGCCCTTTAGGCAGTAATCTTTATTTCAAAGAATTGAAATATTCTATTCATTAGAGAGGTTCTTAGAGGAATAATACAGAATCTCATGAAACCAGGGAACACTGTCAAGCTTGAGAAAAAGAAAACCAAAGACTTTTTCTGTCTTGAGAGAGACATTTTCTCGCATTTTTGCTCCTCCTGTTTTATTCAAATTACATTTTGACTGAAAATATTGAGCTTTCATCATTAGTTCTCAGCCTTAGAAAACATCAGAACTTGCATTCTTTAGTCCCCTAGCAGGGGAATTCGGGGGACTCAACTCCTCTTCTTCATCCAAATACCACAAGTGATAGACCACTACACTGCAAATTTAACCAGCAATGGTCAGAATGAAAAGCCACAGAGTCCAATGTAATGAGTATATCCAGTCATGTGACTAAATGCTATACCACCCTTTGGCAGTGTCTCCCATTAACCACAGCTACTTTCTGTAGCTTGACTCAACAGTAAATGACGCCCTCTATTTGTGACACATTCTGTCCTTTGATCTTGGGTTTCTAGTCTTGAACTTGTTACCAGTCCTTATGTAATTCCAGCCACCGAGTGCATCTCACAGTACAGCAAATTTTCTAACTTTTCCAAGAATCACAAATGATAAGTAGATAACTTTGAAACCAGCTTCCTATTCCATCTCTGATATCTTTCATGAAATCCCTTCCAATTCTCTTTCCTTTCCACAAAAACAAATATAATTATCACGAGGTCACCAGAATACAACCTGCTGCTAAGGGCAACATGCCATGCAATAAATATTTCATCTCTGAGAAGTTAGATGTGTGCCTTTGTCCCCGATTGGCAGGCCTAAGTAGAACACACATTTCCAAGAGTGTAAGGAGCAAACTTAAATGATTGTCTTTTTTTCCTTAAGTTGAATATTTTCCTCTACCTGCCTGGTTAAAATTAATATAATTTAATCAGGAAGTATTACTTTAAAAGTAACCCTGAAAACAAAATGTTCATTCAAAGGAGTAAAGAATGAAATATTTCCAAAATATAAAAATCTTATTTTGGGGCCTTCCCTGGTGACCTAGGGGTTAAGTCTCAGCACTATCACTGCTATCTTGAGTTCAATCCCCAGCCAGGGAGCTGACCCTTATGGTGCAGCAGACCTTGCCTGTCTCACCTGCTGGTCCTCTTAGCAGTGTATTTTAGTAGATCCACCTGTTCTGCTCCCCACTCTGTCTCTGGTGAATCCTCTCAACCCTGCACCTCTGGTCTACACCTCAGTTCTTCTATGCAAATACAAAAACAAACAAACAAAAATCTTCTTTTAAAACAATTACAGTGACCTGGGGGAATATTCATTATAAAATCACAGTGAAAGTAATTGCTTAATAGTATATGTCACATACACAGTCTGATCACAGTTGTGCTAAAAACAAAAATGGCTGAAGAGTTCCAAGTAATGGCTATTTCTTCTTCATGGTTTTTCTGCATTCTCCAAATAATCTACAGTTTACATCTATTGTTTTAAAAATAAAAAAAAGAAAAGAAAAGAAAGAAAGAAAACCAGTACCACTTTTCTGTTTTAAAAGATATTAGATCATCTCTACACTTACCTGGACTAGGAAGTAATTGCTATATATTATTTTAGAAGTTTTTAAATTGAATAAAATAGGTATGATATTTGGGTTGTATATTGCTTTTATATTCACTGGAGGGAAGGGGGAGAAAACACAAGATTTCTTTTCTCAAATGATAGTTATTACCATGTATATGCCTCCGTGTATTTATCTTTAGAAAACACAGCAAGTGCTGATTCATTTGTTTCCAAGTAGATTCATTTTAAAAGATTATTCTGTGCTGGCCATAAAATAGATGCATTGTCTTGAGCCTTTTTTGTCAGTTTTGAAAGACTTTCTTGGAACTTGCATGTACTTTTAGATTTGCCTTTTCTTTCCAATACTTCCTTCTATAACACTGTGAAGCTCTGTTTGAAAATTCTTAAAGATTTCAGATTTTTTTCCCTTGGCATTGAAGGGGAAAGTGTTTCATTGACCTTGCATTCAAAAAACAAATGAGCATTTATTCTGTGCAAAGGGATGGATTCCCTCTTTGCTGGGCCTGGAGTACAAAATGGGAGAATCAGGACTCAGTATAAACAAATAAGGACTTGTCACCACGAAGCCCCATTATTCTCCCAGCTGCTCTGTCCTGCCATTTCTTGGCATTCAGAGAGTCACAGGAAGAAATTATCTCTGCATGCTTAAGCAAATGAGTCAGACCTCTTCTGGATCCTGATTAAGGAGACAATTTAAAAGATATTCTGCCTCCTACATGTAAGTATAGTTATCAAAGACACCATTTTACCTGTTTAAGTCAGGTCTTTATGATGGCTGCTTCCTTAAGTGTTTTATCTTATTTTTTCTATTATTCTTCTACGAAATATTTTCTTTCATCCATGACCAATGGATGGCTTATAAATGGCTGGCTTATAAATCTAACCCTGTAAAGAATCTATTATAGAGAGTAGAATTTAATTGAATTAATATTTTTATTTTACTTTTAATTTACTATTTATTTAACAATATAGGTTTTAGGAATATAGCTACATACCTTGATAAGTGTATACACCACCCTGTATCCACTACCAAAGTTTTAGCACTATTTACCACTATCAAATTGATTCCCACTGGGAAGATGCCCAGTGGACTCTGGTGGAGTTATGGATGCACTGGTGTTGGAAGTGGTATGGTGACATACTCTGAAAGGATATGATTGTACACTTCTGAGTCACTTACCCTGTCATAAACCAATGTTCCCTCAATTAAAAAAAAATCAATAAGACAAAATAATAAACCCAGACAAAACATCAAATGCCTCCCTCTATTCTTTCCACTCCCTTCTACTTCCCTCCTGGGAATCACTATTTTGTTCAAGATCTAAGAGTTATTTTGTTGTGTTATTTTATAACCATTATAATATTTTATTTGTATTCTACATATGAATAAAAACATATATTTGTCTTTCACTTACTGATTTTTCCCTAGCACAGTCACCTCAAATCCTAGCCAAGCTGTCCCTAAAGACAAGGTTTTATCTTTTTGATTGCTGAGTAGTTTTCCACTGGGTATGTATACCATAACTTCTTTACCCAATGATCCATTGATCCATTCGTTGTTACTATGTCTTGCCTACTGTGAATAGTGATCTAGTGAAAACAAGCATGCATATATCATTTTCAGATTTTTCTTTAAAACAGTACATAGAAGAATTGCTGAATCATATAGTTTTCTATCTTTTTTTTTTAAATCACCATAGAGCCTTCACCAATTAATATTCTCAATAACAGTGTAGTTTATATAATATTTTAAAGGATCTGTGTTTTATAGCTTGGTGGACTATAACTAGTATTGAAATGGAAATTGGGAGATTCTTATCCTTTTTCCTGCTAATAGCTATCTGTGCAACTGGTCAAATTGCTTTATCTCTCAGGATCCCAATCTCTTTGATGGTAGAAGAGGAAACCTTGTCACTCTTTGTCACATATCAAATGTTCATTTCAGTGTTCTGATAAATCATGTCTGAGGACACCTTCTCTGAAGAAGAGAGTTTCAGATGCCAACCTGGAAGGGAAGAAGGACTCTGGAATGCTGAAATACATCAGACTGCAGGTACTGACCCCTGGATTAGAAATATTCATGGAGGGGAATAGGAAGGGGGCTCAGATGCTCAGATGCCCTGTAACTGACATATAGGTCATACAGTGCCAGTGAGTATAGTGATGTGGCATAGAGGCACATTTAATTGTGAGCAAGTGTCACCCAGTGTGCAAATAAAATACCCCTTCTTGCTAGACAGCCCACTTCCATGAAGAAAAGACTTAGTCTGGCTGGAAATGTGCCTTTTCCCTCTCCAATGAAGCTAATTTCCTACCTTTGTGTGGTGGGATATTCACAGATCTTGGAATCAGACAGTCTGTGTTCAAACCCCATCTCTGCTACTCTGGTACTCTGGACTTAGAGCCTTGGGGAAGTTACCTAATTTCTTTTAATTTAGTTGCATACTGTGTAAAAATGGGCATTAGATACTCAAAGCAGTATGAACTACGTGAAATAGTGTACTTACCTACTTACCTACTTGACACATTATTATATTGCTATTCAACCTAAAAGCTAAATCATGAAATGTTTCCCCAGACCAAAAAAACAAACAAAGAAAAAAACCAAAAACACTTTCTTGTGCTTTAAAAATATTTATTTATGCATATAGACTTGGGGTATAGGCCAGAGATGTGAGAAGTGAAAGGATTCACTAGAGACAGGGTGGGGAAACAGAACAGGCGGATCTACTGAAATACACTGCTGAGGGGAGCAGCAGGGAGAGATCTACCTTGCATGTGGATCATGTTCTGGCTGGGGGTCTAACTCATGCTTTACTGGCTGCCACAGCTTCATAGTGCTGTGCTTTGACCCCTTGTGCCACCAGGGAAGGCCCTTTAGCCCTTTATTATAAATGATGGTTAAAGACCCTTGTCTAGGCCCTCCCTAGTGGTGCAGCGGATTAAAGCACAGCACTAAGAAACTTAAGCCACTTCCGCATGAGTTCTATAACCACCTGCCCCAGAGGAGATCCACATGGCAAGGCAGACCTCTCCTGACCCGCCCGCTGCTCTCTGGTGAATCCTCTCACCCTCCTCATTTCTGGCCTGTACCCCAGTTCTGTATGAATAAATAAATAAATCTTTAAAAAAAAAAAGACACTTGTCTAGAGGCAATTTGTTTGCCTAAATCTGAAATAACTAATTTTATTTTTTGCTAATCCAAGCTAACAACCATAATGTCTTAACATTTTTCAAAGAAAAATGCCACTGAAATTTACATTGGCTTAGAAACCTAATACTCTAAATGAAACCCCTTTATCAATTAGTGGTTACCACTAGTTTTCAGTGAAAATCAACTCCTAGTTAAAAAAAGAAAAAAAGAGGATCATTTGAAAGTATTAGGACTTTTCACAAAGATATTTTCACTGATACACTGGAGTCTTTCTTTACTCAGAGCTGTGCTTATTCTCTAGAGTTTTTCCTTAGGTTGTTGTAAGGCAGTTCTTTTGTGATGAAAGCATTATAAAATCAATATGAATTTTTTTCTAATTATGCATTAACTCAATTATACACCATGCCAATGAATACACTCCATTCCAGAAAGCATTTTAATCATTTTAAGAAAGAGAAGTGGCACCATTTCTAGAGGAATTCAGCAAGTAGTGCCTTCAAACAGTTTAAGACATGCTATTCATCTTGTCCTAGGTGATGAGCCTGTCGCCTGCTCCCTTATCTCTGTTAATAAAGGCAGCCCCGATTCTGACCGAGGAGATGTACGGCGACATCCAGCCAGCCGCCTGGGAGCTCCTGCTCAGCATGGACGAGCATATGGCGGGGGCGGCAGGTAAAGAAAGTCTGCACAGGACGCTGGTCCGGCTGCCCCTGAGTCCAGTGATAAAATGAGAGAGGAGAGAAGGGATGGAAACAGGGGAGGGGGAGAAAGAGATGCTCGTTCTATTTGGACTTTCAATCAGGTTAACAGTGATTGCTGGACCACTGGATTGATGCGCGCATGCGCATCGGCAGGAGGGGCGCCATGTTCCCTACTTCCGCATTAGGTTTTGCTGCATAGTTTAAGCGAGGACAGTGGGTCTCTCTGCCAGTGCTACCAAATTATAGGGGGTGACTTCCCCAGAGCATACATTTCTACTGTATTTCAGTAGAAAAAAAAATTCTGTTTGTCTGTTGTGTTTTCCTAGACTTATCATGACCTGCTATCAGTAACTACTAAATCATATGCATGTAATATTTTTATCTGAATCGTAATCTCAAAACAGATTTGTTGAAATTTAAGTGGCATGTCCAAAGCTATGTAGTTAGTAAACAGTAGATGCAAAAAATGTGGTTCTTTACTGTTTTCCACTTTATACCTATATTTTTATTTTCTGTAATTATTTTAATTATAAAAAATATAAACATTTGGATAATATAAAAGCATGAAGTTAGGATATCACCCTTTTGCCATGTTCCTTGTTCCCCTTTCCTGGAGGCAACAGCTTTTAATTTTTTCTAATCCTAAAGTGCACTACACACATGTGTAAATATCAATAGATACATTATACTGCATGTTTGCCTTTTCACAATAGGATATTATCAAGACTTTTGTACTTTATACTTTTCATTATACCTAGGGAAAGGTTTTTTAACATCAGTTTATAGCTTTCCCCTTGCTCTTTGTTGAAGGACTGGACAAAATATAATACATTTAATCAGGACTCATTAATGAAATTTTAGGTTGATTCCAGCCTTTTTCTTCTTTATACCATACTGCAACAAATGTCTTTGTAGAACATCTTTATTCACACTAAAGTTCAGGTTTTTATTCTCTATCACTTATTTCTCAAGAGAGCTGTAGGAGCTCAGGGCAGGAAATACTTCCCATCCATGGGGAGCTATAGGCAATCTCCATGGAATGTAGAAACAGGTTTGAAGACTTTAAGAAAAACTAGAATTTAACTAAGCTGAGCAAATGATATAGGCAAAGCTACATGGATGTGGAAATGAGTCAGACTTATCTGGAAGCCAAAGAACCAGTTGATGACTGGGATGACTTTTATAGAGGGGTTACTGGTCCACACTATTAGAGACATACATGGGATTCAAATTGATCAGACCTTGAATGGGAGGCTTAGGAGCACGGGCTTACCATTGAACTATGAAAACTTCTCATGGGCTCAGGGCCAGAGTAACGTATATAGAGTGTGTATTTTTACAAAGTTTAAGGTGGCAATAATGAGTAATGGTTTTAAAAATAGTGGTTTTAAATAAAGAGATCTATGGTTGGTGATATGACACTAAAGCTAATGAGAAATGGCAAAGCTAGTGGTAACTGGGGATAACTTGACATATATATGGCAGCTAAAATAATGAGATTAGATGAGATCTCTGGGTAAGAACTGGTAGAGAGGAAAATGCAGAGGATGAGTACTAACCCATGGCCTTCTCTGCCTTCCGAGGATAGGAAGAAGGCTGGCCAGCATTTGACCTAGAAAAATGATCAAGTAAATAAATCTTAAATCCCAAATCATAGAAGCAAAATAGGACAGTTTCTCAAAGAGATCCTTACGAAGATGTTAAAAACTTTAAGGAAACAGTACTGTAAAAATACCATTGGCTCTTCTGGTTCATGAGCTTTACAAGACAACTGTTTTAATTAATAGATTGATGTGTAACACTTGACTGCAGTTTACTTAAAGTGCTTTAAAAAACTGAAACAGTGTACATTTAAAAAATAATATAATAGTTTATTTTTACATCATTTTGTGCCTTTTTCCATCTCATTTGTAATCCTCGTGGGCTTCCTATCACCAGATCACGAATGTGTCATCACCATAGTCCAGTGCACTTCCCTCCCCCCACCGTTTTTGATCCCATTCCCCACTCCACCCCCCGTAAAATGTCTCTGGTATATAGTTGTTCATTATTATTATTATTTTCTCGCCTGGTCCTTTATACTCCTGCTATGAGTGAAACCACCCAGTATTTTTCCTTTTCTTTCTGGCTTATTTCTCTAAGCATGCTCTTTACCAGCTCCATCCATGTTACTGCAAAAAGCATGTTTTTTTTTTTTTTGGTTGCTGAGTAATATTCCATTGTGTATGTGTACCACATCTTTTTTATCCAGTCATCCTCTTTTGGGCATTTGGGCTGTTTCCATGTCTTTCCAACTGTATATAAAGCAGCAATGAACATGGGGGTGCAGATGTCTTTCTGAATCAGTGTTTTTGTGTCTTTTGGGTAGATAGCTAGGAGTGGGATTGCTGGGTCATAGAGAAGCTCCATTTTTAGCAGTTTGAGAAACCTCCAAACAGTTGAAACATTGTACATTTTAAAGAAAGCATTATTATGGAGATTTAAGGAGCTGGTGGAATAAAAAATTATCAAAAGCTCCTGATCACAAGAGCTAACATTTATTTTAGAACTCTATCACACACTTTATTTGATCCTCACAGCAACCTTTTAGTACATGAGCAAACTGGGACTCAAAGCATTCAAGGATTTACCCATAAATGTTCACAGCTCAATGGCCAAGAAACCATACTTAGATCTTTGAACACACACACACACATACACAAATGCTTGCCATATACTATATTACTTCTAAAAAATAAAATGTACTTTAGAAGTGTGTAGAACTTTCACTTTACAAATTACTTTCTTAAGTACTATTTTATTTCTAATAATCAGGGTATTATGAGATGAAGCATAATCATTGCCATTGAGGTTTTATCAATGAAGAAATAGAAACTAAGAAAAGTAAATTATGAAGCTTACTCAAGATTGCATGACAGAGAAGTATGAGAGCTGAAACTCAACCCCAGTTGTTTTAACACAATTGCCTGTGAATGTTTTGAAGCTCCAAGGAAAAGTACAAAAGATTCTAAAATATGTTTTTAGGATTGCCTCTGATTCCTCCAGATTGCACTTAGCTTCTTCATTGGCTTTATAACAGTGGCATTATGTGAAATCTCTGTTGACATCTCAGTCTCTTGTATCTTTCAGAGGGGTAGTAGTTTCTACCAGAATTCACA